GCTTTAGTGTGGTCTTGTTTGTAAACATTTGGGTAAATGCCCAAAAGTGGGATTGCTGGGTCATAGGGGAGCTCTATGTGAAGTCTTTTCAGGAACCTCCATACTGCTTTCCAAAGTGGTTGAACAAGTTTACACTCTCACCAACAATGAAGTAAGGTTCCCTTCTGTCCACATCCTTTTTAAAGAGTCTCTTGCTCTACTGAGAATGGTCTTTGCCAAAATAATTGCCAACCCATTCCATACAGAGAAGACATAAAAATCACAAGGTTCACTAAGTGTAAGTATATTCTCTTCCAGCTAAAGGATATTTTGTCTATACATAGGTACTAGTAATGACAGCTTAAAAAGTAATCATAGTTTAAATAGAAAATTGATAATTTATGTTTTAATTGGCAAATATTATATGGAGGGGGGAGGATTTCATTGACATTTTAAATTTAGAAACATCATCTTAAATAGTGCTTACTTTCTGATGGGCCTTTGCTCCTTTCTTTTCATCTCCGTACTAGGGGTTGAATTCAGGGCCTCAAAATTGTTAGGGAGGCGCACTATTGTTTAAGCCACAACACACCTCTAGCTCTTTTTTTTTTTTTTTTAAATTGAAACGATCTGTCTATGAAACACAAACTGCCCTAAAACTATCATTTTTCTCTTTTACCTTTCTCCTATTTATGTCATTGGTCATCCCTAGACACATAGAAGAATCATGTGGCAATTGTTGGAAGCAGTTTCCCTTTCAGGGTCTGAATTCCAATAGCACTAGTCTGGAGTTGATCATAGGACTCTTGTTTTCAAAAAGCTCTAGGGTTGAGCCCTCCAGAGGTGGATTTATACACTTTATTTCCTTGCTTTGCCTTTGCTTTTATTAGCAGCATTCATTAGCAATGGTCATTTTGCTCAAGGCCTCTCAGTGCCTGAAGGCTTACTTGTGGCCTTTAATCTGCAGTCTAGTGCTTGTTTGGAGGTGGGAAATTAGTCCAGTTTCTTCATATGTCAGTTGTGGCTCTCTCTGAGTTACCTCCAAGCTCTTCAGATGATTTTCTAGATGGAGAATTAGTTTATTATTTTCCTTGCCACTGTTTTGAAACAGCAGACTTGAGTCTTTCATAGGTTGGGATCTGATCTAATGGAAAAGTTTTTTTCTCCAGCAGAATATTAATTTTTCACACTAAGAACTTCCACTTTAATACAAGGGTAGAAGCAGTCCTCTGGCAGGTACTGACAGGAGTCCTATACTTCCATCCTATTCTACCTTTGTCTCTGGAGTTGACATCAGATGCCACAGGTTAACAGACTGTCCCACAAAGTGGCTCCACCTTAGGCATCATTTAAAAGTTGCAGGTTGTAAATGCTAGTGATACACCTACAGAATGTTGAAAGATCCTTGGTTTTCCTCCCTCGTGGTATAGCATACTCAACGTTTGCCAAGCTGAAGTTGGCAAACTTGGGTCACATCCCCACTTCTGGCTTACTGGCAAGTCACACCTCCACTTCTGCCTTTTTGCTAAGCTGCACCTCCACTTCTACCATTTATTTATTTATTTTTGGTCAGTCGTGGGGCTTGAACTCTGGGCCTGGGCACTGTCCCTCAGCAATTCAGCCCAAGGCAAGTGCTCTACCACTTGAGTCACAGCTCCACTTCCAATTTTCTGGTGGTTTATTGGAGATAAGAATCTCAGGGACTTAACTGCCTGGGCTTTGAATCTCGATCCTCAGATCTCAGCTTCCTGAGTAGCTAGGATTACAGGCATGAGCCACCAGGGCCCAGCTCACTTCTTCTTGCGGGGTTAATTGGAGATAAGAGTTCCTAGGATTTGTCTGCTTAGGCTGTTTTTCAAACTGGGATCCTCAGGGCTCAGTCTCCTGAGTAACTGGGATTACAGGCATGAGCCACCAGCTCCAAAACGAAATTTTGGAGTCCATCTTTCAGAGATTTTTTTATATAGAGGTTTCATCACACAGTGACATAATTAACTCAGTTTCCAACCTCTATTCTGAGGTGGGGGGAGATGAAAATTTCAAGACAATATCAGTGCTTGATTAAAATTTTCTAACACTGAACTAAAAGATAAAGTCATGTGTAATATGGATATAACCTAATTGGAACAAAAGAACCAGTGTTTTACCAAGTGGAAGTGTTGGAGGGTTGGTACACATGAAATGCTCACCAAATGTCTCACCTTTACTCTTTGCATCTAAAGAGTACAGCTAATAGGCATATTACTGTTCATTGTTACACTGGGTTATAGGTGTTACCCTCTGCAGGAGGAGAGGCAATCTGTATAGTTCAGTACTCTTCATCTTTTGTTATTTTTAATGCAAATGCTTAAGAATGCAGGTAATCTGAACAAGCAGAAAACTAATAGAAATTGGATTATGTGGTATATAATATTTCATTAAAATGTACAGTGGCTAAATATATAAATATATTTTTATAAATATATAAATAAACTGGCTGTATGTGTGTGCGGTCGCGCGTGCATGCACAGGCACGCTGATACTGGGGCTTGAACTCAAGGCCTGGATGCTGCCTCTGAGCTTTGTGCTCAAAGCTAGTGCTCTATCCCTTGACACAGCACTCTGTGTGTGTGTGTGTGTGTGTGTGTGTGTGTGTGTAATTGGAAATAATCTCCTGGACTTTCCTGCCTGGGCTGGTTTTGAACTGTGCTGATACTGGGGCTTGAACTCAAGGCCTGGATGCTGCCTCTGAGCTTTTGTGCTCAAAGCTAGTGCTCTATCCCTTGACACAGCACGCTGTGTGTGTGTGTGTGTGTGTGTATGTGTGTGTGTGTGTAACTGGAAATAATCTCCTGGACTTTCCTGCCTGGGCTGGTTTTGAACTGTGCTGATACTGGGGCTTGAACTCAAGGCCTGGGTGCTGCCTCTGAGCTTTTGTGCTCAAAGCTAGTGCTCTATCCCTTGACACAGCACGCTGTGTGTGTGTGTGTGCGTGTGTGTGTGTGTGTGTAACTGGAAATCTCCTGTGTGTGTGTGTGTGTGTGTGTGTAACTGGAAATAATCTCCTGGACTTTCCTGCCTGGGCTGGTTTTGAACTGTGATCCTCAG